TTCAACCTGCCCACTGATTGTCCACCCATCCCTACAGAGGCTAGATGGAAATAATGTGTGAGACACATAGACATGAGGTTGCAACCTAGCTAGAATGGACAACCATCATTTCATGTCTCTGGGAAGCTTAAAGTGGACTTATAGTTTAAAAATGCCTGCACCCATACTGCTGTGAGATAAATTTTACACGGTCTATATACTGTACTTGGCATCATACTCTTCTGCCATGTACTCACATTCCGAAGACCCTGATAAGATACTAGCCTGCCTATGTACTGCCTCAGTTACTCCCCTTGTTACCTTAAAAGCATATTCCTTAAGATTAATGTCATACCTAGGTGAGGTGCAGTGTGGTGCGGCGACATTGAACACACTGTAGTCCAATTGCAGGAAATCTTTGTATTGAGCAAGAAGTCAATGTTACAAACAGCCCAGCGGGAGAGCGATGCTCAGAGGAATAACTCACTGTTCAAAATAGTCAAAAGATGTGGCTGAGGAGAGGTGTCAACAATGTCTGTTTCATAGGGTGAAGTGCGATATGGCCAGTCAAGTCCCAAGAGGGGAGACTTCCGTTCAGGAAAACGAGTCCCTAGCCTATCCCTCCTCGTCAGGAACCTTTCCCTACTGCTAGTCACTTTTCCTAACAAGCCGGATCTCTCTCCTAAACTAGCCAATTGCAAAAATGCATGCCAAAACCCGGGGGCAGAGACTTACAGTATATAGACCTTGCTGACCCAAGATGGCTGCCAAGGGTCACATGGCCACAGCGTTGCCAACCTGAACACTGCTCCATTGATCCAGAAAACCATAGAGAAACTGTGTTTCCCCTGGGATGCCTCTCCAGGCTGTAGTACCACTTGGTGCAAGCGCCACCTACAGTGGAAAAAACAGACTGCACCTGCCTAAAAATGTGTTGAATACAGAAGAACAGTTATTTAGAAAGATGTTGAATGTATTTTTGTGCCTGTTTCCTACTGTAGTTGTTATTACCAATTTGGAAGCACTATTCAGTATTGGGATAGGAGTTGTCTATCTGTAAAATTTTCAAGAGGTTGCCTATTGTCACTTAAACATGCTGTAAAAATAAAATACTTACCTCTCCTCAGCACAGTCTTCATCTATGTCCACAAGGCCAGTCAAGGCTGGCCAGGCAGAGGCAGCCAGTCATTGACTCTGCCTCTCATATTCCCAGGCCCTTAACCGTGGTGTTAGAGCAGAAATAGTGAAGAATTAATGCTGCAGTTGGATTCAGAGAAAGACAACTGACATGTAAGACCAATGGCAGGTAAGTATTTGCGTGCTCTTTTAGATTCCAGTGAGAGTAGGCAGCATGAGGAGATGCCAGACCGAAAGTCAGTTTCAGATTTTAGGTCCAAGTAAAGGTTTGCTATATAATTATGTGCTGCAGTCAGAATCTTAGAGATGTGCACTGGTAATTCATGAGTATGGTCAAGCCTTTAAATCTCTATATCAGTGATGGTCAACTTAAAAATTATAGAGGGCCTCAAATGCAACTGCTGACACTTCCAGAGGACCACACAATAGCAGCGCATTTTCATGCGTTAAGGTGCATTGTGTCAAGTTAGGTAATTCATTCAAACTGAACAGCCTGCAATGCACATTAAAGAGGTAGTAAGCTGCCAAAAAAAAGTACAAAAAAAAACATTTCCCTTGCAAAAATAATGTCATAATATGCTAGTATGCATTGCATACTAGCACATTATGAAAGACTTACCGCTACCTTAGAATGAAGCCCTTTAGTGGCGTGCTGTCACCACTAACAGGGCTTCCAACTTCTCCCAGTCTTCCTTCTAGGTTCACTGGTTCTGGCCACTTCATTGGTTGAGCCGCATACATGGGAGACACATGTGCCAGTGACGTCATTGGCTGCAGGGACAATGAATATCGCCTAAACAGTGTATATTTAGGAGGTAGGTACACCTGTAGGTAGAAGTGTCCAGTGGTAGTTTACTTCCACTTTAATGCCTAAACATTTTCTGGTGCTTTTTTTGCAATGTATGGCATTGTAAACTGAAGATAATATGGAAGTCATCATTGGTGTCAGTGGCTGCAATAAAACCCCCAAGCATTGGTGCAGTGAAAGTACAAATAAACCCCCCTCCCCTCAACAGGGTGAGACCAGTGCTTGGTAGTAGTGTTGTTGAACCCCCTCCCCGCATTGGTGGTCAGTGGCAGTTTTGTTTTAATAAGCACATGCCTGCTGCATTGGTGATCAGTGACAGTGTTTTTTACCCCTTTTCCCCCTCATGCATTAGTGGTGGGTACAGTGTTTTTAAACACCCACATCACCTGCACTGGTGGTCACTGCAGTGTTGTATAACCCCCCCCCCCCCAAATTAGTGATCAGTGCCAGTTTTTTTAACCCCTCCATTCATGTTGGTGAACAGTGCAGCATTTAATTTTAACCCACTCCAATTAAATGGTGGTGAAATTTAACATAACCTGATCACAAGTTCCCGCACTGTTCTCTCTCCTCCTATCTGGCCAGGACATCACAAGTACTGCTAGGCAGGGGTCACGCCACTTGGCATTGTTGTCTGTTTCAGTGTTGGGTGCTAAAATGCAAAGCGTGTTTCAGTGCCCGGCTTCCAGCTGCCACTCTGCAAAATGATCAAGTGCCTAACGGGTGGCAGACAGAGCAGGCTGGACACTTGGAGGTGGCAGGCTGTGTGTTCGGCTCCCAGCCTCTATATGCTTTAAGCAATATATATATATTTGTTAATAATAAATAATATCCCCATGACATTGCAATATTCCACAAGTTGGCAAATAATGTATCTCTCCCACTATCATTTCATACAAACTGATATGTCACTTAGCAACTTAGTTATGCAAAAGGAGACTGAAGGGGTGAGGTGAGTAGAAGAGAGACAGATTTGGGAGTCATTAGCATAGAGATAATATTGGACGCCATGGAAAGTGACCAAAGGAGGAGGTATAGAAAATAGGGGTCCTAGGACAGAGCCTTGGGGGACCCCTACTGAAATAGGAAGAGAAGAGGAGGAGATAGAGTTGTAGGAGACACTGAAGGAGTGCTTAGATACGTAGGAGAACCAGGAAAGATCAGAGTCTTGCAGGCCAAGTGAGTGGAGTTTTTTGAGAAGCGAGCTGTTTGCTTTATCAAAGGCAGAAGAAAGGTATAATTGTATGAGTATTGTTTAGCCGTTGGTTTTAGATTCTTTGAGAACGTTCTGTGCCTAGCTTAAAACAAGTCAGAATAGAACTTATTCCTGCTGGCTACTTTATTAAAGGAAGAATATTATTTTTCATCTCGGTGTGGAGCATTCCTGTTACTGGTACACTAGAGATGAGCCGGGCCAGCACCTGAGATGACATTGTGAAGTCAGGAGCTTGATCTCATCTGGAGAAGCTTGTGAAATGTTTGACACTGGTTTTAGCAGTTGAAAGCATTTTGCAATCTGTTTGAAGAGTGAAAAAAAACCTTGTTGATCTTGTCCAAAAATCCACTGTTACCATCTGTTGTGGTGCACTGCAGTGCATATGTGTTGGAGCTGCATTGCCTCAAAATTAATGACATCAGAAGGAAAATGATAAATGTTTTTCAATATTTTTTACAAATAAATATCTGAAAAGTGTGGCTGTATTTGTATTCAGCCCCATTTACTCAGATACCCCTAACTAAAATCTAGTGGAACCAATTGCCTTCAGAAGTCATCTAATTAGTAAATAGAGTCCACCATCTCAGCATAAATACAGCTGTTCTATGAAGCCCTCAGAGGTTTGTTAGAGAACATTAGTGAACAAACAGCATGATGAAGGTCAAGAAACACACCAGACAGGTCAGGGATAAAGTTGTGGAGTAGTTTAAAGCAGGGTTAGGTTATAAAAAAATATCCCAAGCTTTGACCATCTCACAGAGCACTGTTGAATCCATCATCTGAAAATGGAAAGAGTATGGTACAACTGCAAACCTACGAAGACATGGCCTCCACCTAATCTGACAGACCAGGCAAGGAGAGCATTAATCAGAGAAGCAGCCAAGAGGCCCATGGTAACTCTGGAGGAGCTGCAGAGATCCACAGCTCAGGTGGGAGAATCTGTCCACAGGACTACTATTAGTCGTGCACTCCACAAATATGGCCTTTATGGAAGAGTGGCAAGAAGAAGGCCATTGTTGAAAGAAGTCATAAGAAGTCTTGTTTGCAGTTTGTGAGAATCCATGTGGGGGACACAGCAAACATGTGGAAGTACCTTCATGCGTATGGTACTGCGCACCGCTGAGACCCTGCGCCATCTTCTCCCGCCCCTCCATAGCCCAGCGCTCTAGTGAGGGCTGGGGGAGTAGAGCCCAGAGCAATGACAGTCACCACTCTCTGCTCAGAATGGACCAGAGAACTGAGCGATCAGTGGTCTTTGATTGCTCAGTTCTTAGTGTACAGACGGAGGGGACAGAAGTAGCATTAGTTCGATGCTGCAGCCATCTAGGTTTATATGATTGCTTCCCCCCATGCACTTCTCTTACCACTTTAATCAGTCAGTTATCTATAAACACAGATAGTAGAGGGTAGCAGATGCTTACACGCGTTAGCATGCATTGTGGGAATGATCGTCTTACAGCAACACACTGCAGAGGAGTGAATGAGCCCTTATGAAGTGAGTGCATTTCATCACAGCAGGTGTTGGTCTGTACTTGTAGGTTCTGTAAAAGGATAACACATGCATGCACTGCATAGATGTTCTCTGGATTTTGTTTTTTCATTTTGCCTTATATGAGTATATCTCTATATATATCGCACTTCCCAACACAGCCCCGTTCTTCTTTGCATGGACACAGCAGAAGCCTCCATCCACCAGGGGGAGCTAATAAATATGTGAGTCTGTGAACATTATAGACCGGTCCCAGGATCGCTGTTTGATGACGTCACTTGCGGTGGACGGAAGAAATCTGGAATACAGACTAGTCCTTTCCATACTACATAAACAAGCGTTCCTCGGTGTGAGGCAGCTGACACAGGGATATGGCAGAGCTGGAGATCGGACAGCACTGTGATGTGGAGCACTGTGGACAGATAGGTGATGAGAAGTCATTGAAGGAAACAGGGAACTCCATATCTGAAAATACCACTTGTCTGGCTGCCATTGCTTTATTGTAGCACTGTGTATCAGAATCGGATTTGTTTCTAATAGCTGTTTTCATCATTGTTCATGCTTTGTTGGATGTCAGTGATGCGGATCTCCTGCAGCTTCTTGCTGCCACTTCCTGTCCACGTACACCCAACTACTGGCAGCATGGCGTGTCTTAGGCTGGGTTTCCTAATGGCTACAATAATGGACTATGCCTGGATAATGTGTGGAAATGGCCACTCCTAGTCTGTACCAGAAGCACATGTGGGTGACAACACAGGAGCATAAAAGGAAGCCAAGGACAGCCTGTTGTCACCCGATAAGAGAAAGTGCCAGAACAAGGATCACCGGGTGTAATTTTACTGTAAGCTGCTGACTTAAAAATGGTCTTGATGGAGAAGTTTGAAGTTATAATAAAACAAACATCTATACTCCGCTCTGATACTACATCTGCCCCCGCTGTCTTTAATCCCAAAAACTGAGTGATCACATGATCGCTCAGTTCTCAGTCCACTCACAGCTGAGAGTAGTGATCAGTCACTGGCTGTTCACTCTGCCCTCTAACGCTCACTGGAGTGTTGGCTGAGGAAGAGGCAGGAGCAGCTAGCTCAGACTCTCTGCCGCCCGCTTCCTGTCCAGGCATCTGGGCAGATCCCAACATATTGTCAGGATCCTTCCATAGTCTGGAGTGGCTCTGTGATGTCAGCCAATAGCAGGCTTTAGCCCACTGTTGGTTGATTTAGGGTCGCAGGAGAGTGCAAGTAAATACACTCCTGTGATCCAGAAGAGAAGCATGACCAAATAAATCTTTGGCCATACTTCTTTTTTAAGCAATGCATGCATGTAGATAGGAAGTAGCTATAAAGACGCTGTAGAAGATCAGCAGCACTGATCCAACAGAAGATGAAAAAAGTCAAAAGTATATGATACGCAGAGCTTTAGCCAATTTAACCACTTTACAGCCGCGCTATAACAGAATGACGGCTACAGCACGGTTGCCCAGTTCTGGGAGGCGTCATATGACGTCCTCCCAGAATGCGCCCCCAGTGGCACGCACCCCCGGTGCTATCAGTGATTGATGTGTCCTATGGACGCAGCTGATCACACGACTAGGTAAAAGGCCAATCACAGCGGTCTTTTACCACATGATCACAAAGTAAATACAGTTGCCAGTTATCGGCATCACTTTCCTCACACTGTCACAGCTTGAGGAAAGTACTGCCGATAACCAGCAAATGTCACAGAGCAAATCGGCACTGATCATTAGGGCACTGATGATCAGTGTCACCCAGACGTGCTGCCCAGCAGTTGCGCCCATCAGTGCTGTCAGCCAGTGCCACCTGTCAGTGCTGCATATCAGTGCAGCATCATCAGTGCCTCCTCATCAATGCCCACCAGTGCTGCATCATCAGTGCAGCCTCAGTGTCCATCAGTGCTGCCTATCTATGCCACCTCATCAACACACATCAGTGAAGGAGAAAAATTACCTGTCTGCTAATTTTTATAATCGAAACAAAGAAACTTTTTTTTTTAAATTTTTTGATCATTTGTTTTGTTGATAGTGCAAAAAATAAAAACCCCAATGGCGATTACATACCACCAAATTAAATCTCTATTTGTGTGAAAAAAAGATACAAAATTTCATATGGGTACAGTGTTGCATGACCGTGCAATTGTCATTCAATGTGCCACAGCATTGAAAGCTGAAAAGTGGTCTGGGCACGAAGGGGGTAAAAGTGCTCAGTAGGCAAGAGGTTAAAAGTCATGCAGTTAACGTATACATCCACTTTAATGGAGTGGATTGTTATCTTTGTTATTGTCACATCTCATTTTGTTTCTGTTCCTATCCCACAGATTTTCTTCCTTTTGTCTGTGATGGCTGCTCAAAAGTATTTTGGTGAGTGTTGGACTTTGGAGGGCAGACACCATGTTGTGAAATGTTGCTCTGTTGCTGTTCACCTGAGTTCATTATTCTGTAAATGTTAGACCCAATTCACACTTGCCACATGAAAAACACTAGCCCTTCCACTCTTCCAGTGCCATTAATTGTTAAAGGATAAGTTCACCATAAAGAAAAAAAAAAAAAATAAATGCACATTTTTTTCAGGTAAGAAAATGTGTATTTATTTCTTTAAGGAACCTGCAGAGCATTGCACCTGAGATCAGCAGACCTAATGTCTTCCTTCCCTCTGCCAGTCTTGCTGTGTAGGGGATAACATGAGGCTTATATTCAGGTCATGACACCAATTGCATTTAAAATATTTAAAATAAAAGTATTTTAGATTTGCATAATTGGTGTTCTATGTTATATATTCCTGAAGTTCTTTTTTACAAAAGTATATTACATTAAGTATTACAACTTCCAGTAAGTAGATGTTTTATGCTGCTTTTTGTTTTTGTTGTTCTTACAAATGTACATGTTTGTCTTTACAGTCTCATACACAGAAGCAGAGACTCTCATGGCTGTGTTGAGGTAATAGTGTATTTACCAGCAGTGTATTTCTAACCGTATTTGGATGGGTCTTCATTATAAACATACATGTATTTTCGATGTCGCACTACTTGTAGGGGTTAGGTAAAAAAAAATGGAAACACTACATGATTTTAAGGTGTGAAAGTGATGTAACAATCTTTTGCTTGCGCTGTGTGGTGGGACACCTAGCCAACAGGTGAGAAGCCTCATTTTCACCATACACTGCGTGCTTTGCTAGTAATATAGAGCTGTGTCAGAGATTACTGAGCTTCAAAAAGGCAAACTGTAGGTGCCAGCTTAGCTGGTGCCTCTGTGACTGAATTGCCAATTTATTTGACGTGAGGTACAGTATCAAAGGTTATGGCAGCAAATACAGTTTCTGGGAAAACATTGTCTGATGAGCATAAGCACGGTCAACATGGTCAACTGACTGAAAGATACAAAAGGACATTGTGCAGGATTGTGACACGGGGTAAGAAAACTACTGCTGCAAAAGTGACAGCAGAGCTTAGTCTCAGTCTTCACGAGATTGAGCTCTGCAGTCACTTTTGCAGCAGTAGTTTTCTGTAGCTACAGAGGCTGGGGTGAGACTTTGTTTTCATGTGCTACAAAATTACATAATTACAGTAGAAGGTATTTGCATCTTACTGCTTCCATTTAAAGAAAAAAAAACTGAAATAAGGCTGGTGCAGCCTTGCAATTAATAATTTGTGCTTCTTGAGACCACCTGTGCCATACTTGTCATATCTTGCACAGATGAGCCTACCAAGTCAGAAATGACTGTATGCAAGTTGTTCCAGCTTTAGAATTGTAGAGATTTTCTGGATCTAGATGCCCAGCTGTTCTCATGGAAATGGCTCATGCCTAAAGGAAGAATAAACCCTTGTATTGTAGATTTTCAGTGGAAGTGACAGCATGCCAAAAATATTGATGGCAGTACTGTGCCTTGTGGTATTTAAAGTAGAAGCTCAGTCAAAAATGACATTTCAACTTGCTCCCATCGTTATTCTAAGTCCTCTACTAAATACCCTGCAGAGGAAAGATGCTTATACTCATCTATTCTCAGGGTGCTCTGTTTGGGTTATATGATTGGCTCCCAGCACTGGCTTCATTGTAGTGGAGGAACAACGAACAATGGATGCCCCATTATAACAAAAAAATAATTAAAAAGGGGGGGGGGGGGCGTGAAACTGTATATAAACAGTGACACCACTAGGGGAAATAATTATAGTTCACTAACTACACCAAATAGGTGCGGGTCACAGTACCAGAGAAATATACTAAAAAAAAAGTTTATGACGAAAGAACCCCATAAAAACAGAAGGTACTACTGATCGTACCCAGGTATTTTAACTAACAAAAGTAACTTTATTGAAATTACATGTACAAACATGATGCAAGTGCATATACAAAAATCAAAAAAATTTTATTCCTAATGGCTCTAATATGTTCATCGATCCAGATACGTAAGAGTCTTTTAGTTTTACCCACATAAAGTTTTTCTTACATGGGCATTCCATCATATACAGTACCCTCTCTGTCAAGCAATTATTAAAGGTCTTAATATCATATGTTCTCATATGATTTGCTCCAGTGAACGTCCTAGTCTTTTCAACAAATGGACAGAACAGTGTCCACAAGGGAACATTCCAGTAGTACGCGGTGGCTAATTAGAGGAGAAACTTCTAGTAAATTCAGAATGTTCCAGAATATCTTTTAAATTACTTGCTGTTTTGGCCACCATAGATGGTTTAGGGCCTAATGCCATTGTTGAGCGAGTATAGATTTTTACCGTTTCCCATTGGGAACCAAACTTGGTGATAAATCTAGTAAGGCCATACTTGGTATTTTCATCCTTACTGGCAACCTTAGTTGGCTGTTGAAGTAGAGTCTCACGTTCCCTCTATGCTGCTTAGTTTTTTAGCTACCTTCGAAATGTCCCATGTGGATATCCCCGTTTTTGAAATCTTAGATACATCTGATTAGACTCACTGCTAAATTCCTTAAACTGGGTACAGTTCCTCCTAATACAGAGGAACTGGCCCACAGGGATTCCACTTTTTAGAGGTTCCGGGTGATAACTACTGGCGTAGAGGAGAGTATTGGCTGCTGTTTCCTTCCTAAAAGTTCTGTTATGGAGAATACCTCCCACAATAGAAATAAAGAGGTCCAGGAATGGAATCTCCTTATGATGGAAGCTATATGTCACTTTAATATTGCAGTCATTGATGTTCAGTTCTGCCATAAACATCTGTAATTGTTCAACAGACCCTGTTCACAATTCAGGACATCATCGATGTACCTAAGCCATGTCATTGCATGGGCCAGGTACAGATGAGAGTGGTACACTACATCAGACTCCCATTTTCCCAAATGTAAGCAGGCATATGCTGGGTCACATGGAGCACCCATCGAGGTGCCCCTTACCTGTTGGTAATAAATTCCCAGAAACTGGAAATAGTTTTTAGAAAGTACAAAGTCTAACAGTTCTAGGATGAACTCATTTTGGGCACCAAAGTCCAGATAGTGAGTTTCAAGAAAATGAGCCACAGCCCGTAGGCCCCACATATGGGGAATGGAGGTATAAAGAGATTCCACATCTATCCCAACAAGAAGAGCCCCCTGATGGATCTCTAGATCCTGTATTTTACAAAGGACATCTCTAGTATCCTACACATACGAGGGTACCTGAACCACCATTCCCTTAATAAGACTGTCCAAGTATTTACCCACCTTTTCTAAGGGGCCATTTACCACTGAAATAATTTGGTCTTCCCGGTGGTTTAGTTGGGTTTTTATGAATTTTAGGGATGCTATAGAAGGCCGGTGTATTATGTTTCTACCTTAAAATATTCAGACTTTTTTAGAACGTAGACCTGCTTCTTTGCCCAATTCCAATTTTTAATTTAGTTGGAAAGATTAGATCTGGAAATGGATTCTGTGATAATTTCAGATAGGTTGAGTGGTCCCCTAGTTGTCTTTGCACTTCAGCAACGTAATGGAATCATTCAGTAGTACAACGTTGCCACCTTTGTAACTACTCTTTATCGCAACATTATGGGCACTCTTTAGCTCGTTAAGGGCTATCCGTTCATCTCTTGAAAGATTGTCATTAGACCTAAGAGACCAACCAACCAAATCGAGATCTTTTTGTACCAACACCAGGGAAAGGATAACCCATTTATTTTGTTGTAAGGATGGCATCTTAGTGGACTTAATATTCAGATCAACTGCTCTTATAAGTGGCGAGTGTAAATCCTCAGTCCCCTCCTTAAATTCAACATTCTCATCTAAAAGACTAACCAGATCACTTAATACCTGCCTTTCACTATCACGAGGAAAGGGGTCTTGTTGTCTTTCCAGTTCCGGCGACTCCTTAAATGTTTTTAGGAAGACCTTCCGCAAAATTAAATTGAGGTCTTTGAATACCTTAAACTCATCCATATCGGAGGTAGGAGAGAAAGAATGACCCCTTGGCAAAAGCTTAATATGTCTTTCCTGCAGAGCAAAGTTTGAAAGGTTGACAACTTTAAGATCATCCACATGGGATGAAGGTTCTTCCTGCATTTAACTGGTTATTTTCTCTGACTCCTGAGTTTACCCTGTGGGTTTTGTTTTTCCTGCCTCTCATGTCCCCTTAGCCCTTTTCTACCAGTATACCTTTGCTCATTTTGCGTTGGTGTCTGGTCCCTGGTCATAGTTGGCTTCTACAAAAGAGACTGATTGTTTTTAGATGAATTCTCATCACTTTCTGATGATGAGGCGTTGCTACGATTAGGAGTAAGTCGTCTCCTATGTGAGTGGCTCCTCCCTCTGTTGGTAGTTAGATCAAAAATGAGTCCCTTATTCAATCTTCAAGGTCCCTTTTTAAATTTGAGTTGCTTGGTGGTCTTAAGGTTTGTCTGAACCAGCCTTTGTCTTTTTAGTCTTATTAATTAACCATTTTTTATTGTGTTTCTGCGTTCTCTGCCATCAACACACAGGCTAGACCTATACTTTCTTTAGTTTTTAAACATTACTAAAATGTAAAGAAAATTATTAGTGTTGACACGCCAAGTTTTTAAATGAAAGTTTTGATTTTTTTTTTTTTCTTTTATGTATTTTGGTGAAAGGTTTGTGTGAGTACTGATCATGTAAAATCTGAGGGGAGCACACAGTGCCCATGTACCTATAAAGGCTGCAGTGACAAGGAGTTAGTCCAAGTTCTGTGCCCGTTCTGTGAGAAACACTTCTGTTTCAGGTATGTTTTATATATACAGTATACACACACGCACATATACCGTGACCGTATGGTTTTCTTGTAACACAGTATATCTTTTATAGACATCGCCATCAGTCTGATCATGAGTGTGATAAGCTTGAAGCACCCAAGCACCGAATGTCTGCAACACAACAGTTGGTAAAAGAGATTGTCGGTCAGTGGATCTGTTTTATTTTATTTTTTTTTTAATCATGTTGGTAGATAATTGTCAAAGAGAACTAGTTTGGCCTTCAGTCTTGAATATTTAATTTGTTTGTCCTCTGTTAACCTCTCTGGTGGTCTGGTTATTATTATACAGGATTCATATAGCGCCAATAGTTTTCTCAGCGCTTTACACTATGACAGGAGACAATACAGTTAAATACAAGAGGGTTAGGAGGGCCCTGCTCCTTGGAGCTTACAATCTAAGAGTTATGTCGATTTTTTTTTTAATGTCAAAGCGGCACATTGTTTTGCATGGAAATGTGGTGTTTTATATTGTAGGCTTGTAATTCACTTAAATTTGTCCAAACAAGAGTCTAGTAAACATCCCGGGTATGATACAGTTTGAAACACAATCATAAATTATAATAAAAATAATTATAAAAAAAGATTTAATAATTTGAATTCAATAATGTAATCAAACCAAAAACACTGAAATATGAAATAGAACACCAAGTTTGCAGATCACTGAGCTCAGTCGCGGAATTGTCGCTGTCGTTACTTTCAGTGTCTGATGACGAATTTTCCCATGAATCACTATCGCTCATTTCTGCAAGTGATTCTAATTCACTATCCCTGTTTTCTAGCTGGTCTAAAACCGCTTTTGACCTAAAGGGACGCTTTTTGGATGCCATGGACGTTCTCAAGTTTTCAGGCAGAAAGAATGGTAAAAGTGCAGGCATGGCACTGACAAAGCACTAGGGACAAAACTGAGGTGAAATAGTTTGCCACAGTATGTAATCCTAACAGATTACAATGTATTGTGTGTATGTCTTGTTTTTACTTTTTTGAATCTCTCGCCGGTTCCGCCCCCCTGCGATGCTCGCAGGGAAGGGAAACTCGGTAGACGGATGCCGGAATCGGCCGGAGGGACACATCAGGAAGACATCGGGGGATCACAGGACAAGGTAAGTTACACTACAGTGTAATCCCGAGTGTGGCTCGGGGATATCGCTTTTGGTACTGAAAATGAACCCCGAGCCACACTCAGGATTACCGCTAGGGAGGTTAAGTTGAATTTACTCTTAACAATGACTCTAGGCCTTGGAAGGCAAGTGTTTACCTGAAGTGAGAGTTTCTGGTCTACCAGCTGTCTGCAGTGCACTACATACTTTAGAGCAGTGGTTCTTAACCTGGGTTCGATCGAACCCCAGGGGTTCGGTGAGTCAGTCTCGGGGGTTCGGCGGAGGTGACCCACACCCGACTCATATGATTTGTGATGACATGCCCCGCTTGTCCATCATTGGCTGCAGGTGGTCACGCAACATCGCTTAGCCCAGTGGTCGGCAAGCCGCAGCTCTTGTGTGCCGGGCGCCCGCTCCCCTCCCTCCTCTCGGGCGGCAGGGACTCAAATGCAATGATTAGCCAGTCTCGCTGCCACTCACATCCTGATAGCCAGTGATTGGCTGTCAGGATGTGTGTAGGCGGGGCAGCGTGACGAACGTGAGAGGAGCGAGGCTCCTCTCACAGTCCGCCCTGAAGACCGGAACGGCGCGGGAATACAGCGAGAGGAACGCGAGGAGCAAAGGTAAGTGAATTGACACAGGGGGGACTTGGGGACTTAATATGGGGGATGAATTAATATGGGGGATGGGGGAATTACTATATGGGGGATGAATTACTATATGGGGGATGTATTACTATGGGGGGATGTATTACTATATGGGGGATGAATTATTATATGGGGGATGAATTACTATATGGGGGATGAATTACTATATGGGGGATGAATTACTATATGGGGGATGAATTACTATATGGGGGGATGAATTACTATATGGGGGATGAATTACTATATGGGGGGATGAAATTACTATGATGGGGGATGAATTACTATGGGGGATGAATTGCTATATGGGGGATGAATTACTATATGGGGGATGAATTACTATATGGGGGATGAATTTTCATACCGTTTGTTACAACATATCTTTGCGAGCAATCCTTTTCGAGGATGCTGGACATAAAGACGAAGAAAAGGAACAGACTTTGTTGCGAAAATGACATGAGAGTGGCACTTGCCAAGGTAATGCCGCGCATTTCTGAACTGGCCTCTGAAAGACAACAGCAGAAGTCACACTGATTTGCGGTAAATATTCATTATTTTGTTTTTGTGTGAAAATCATGTTTTAATGGTTTTGTTCTTTGTTCTTAATGGTTTTGTTCATTTTGTGCACCTATGTATAAATATATACCTATGTTTTGAATTTTAAAAATCATATTTTATTTTTCCAATTAAGAAGGGTTCGGTGAATGCGCATATGAAACTGGTGGGGTTCAGTACCTCCAAAAAGGTTAAGAACCACTGCTTTAGAGGCACTTGAGGCAGACTGGAGGTTTCTTGTATCGGAGGCTGTTCTGTGTTACCTACAGGAAGAAAAGCCGCATAAACCTGTCAGGAAATTCTCCATAGTGTTCACTGTATTATTATTTATCTGATCTTATTTACAGATTCTAAAAAATCTGCCCCTCCCAGCAAAGGGAGAAAGGGAGCAAAAAACAGCGAGACTGCAGCAAAAGTTGCACTGATGAAACTGAAGCTCCATGCCCTGGGAGATAAATCTTTACTGCAGGCAAGTGTTTGATCAGAATAGTGTGCAGATGGTCACTATGAAAAGTGCCTAATCAGTACAGGTGGAGAAAATGACAAAGATGGTATCAACCTAGCAACTTTGCAACTAAAAAAAAAAAGAAAAGTGCAGTCACTTTGCTGTTATCCTTAAATTCCAGGCAGTTATGACAGGTTAAACGTAATCATTAATGAGGACAGTGATTGCTTTACAGCCCACCTTTCTCAAGGCAACAGACACCATGTTGCCTACTATATATTTTTCTGCATCATGCCTTTTGTGTGGAGCACCAAGACATTTATTTTGGATAGAGTGCCATGTGTGTGTATATATGTGTATGTTTTTAACATGTCACCATTTTTCTCAGTAAATATATTTCTAAAGGTGCTATTGACATGAAATTTTCACTACATGTCGGTAACAGCCCATGCATTCCATGCATACAAAGAAACCAAAACAAATAAGTTCAGCAATTAACCACTTGCCCTGCTGAGGATTTACTCCCCTTCCTGACAAGGCCATTTCTTGCATTATGTTATGCTGTGTTACTTTAACTGACAATCGCAGTCATGCAACGCTGCACCCACACGAAATTTACTTCCTTTTTTTTCCCCACGAATAGAGCTGTTTTGTTTTTTGTTTTTTTTGTTTGTTTTTTTTTTGGTGGTACTTGTTTGCCTGTGCATTTTTTATTTTATGCACTATAAAAAAAAGACCGACAATTTTTAGACAAAATGTTTTGCTTTTTCCTACTAAACATCCAGTAAAAAATTTTAAAAATCAAATTTTGTCATAAATTCAGGCCAAAATGTATTCTGCTACATGTCTTTGCTAAAAAACAAAATCCCAATACGTGTAAATTAATTGGTTTACATGAAAGTTAAAGCGTTTACAACTGGCGGTATATATACTGGGATTTTTTTTAATGGCGGCAATCAGCGACTTATAGTGGGACTGCGGCAGGCATTCTGACACTGGGGGGAACCAGTGACACCAATACAGTGATCAGTACTAATAAAAACCACTGACACTGTACTAAGGAAACTGGGCAGGAAGGGGTTAACATGTAGAGTGATCAAAGTGTTAACTGTGTGCTATTTTACACTGCGTGGCTGTGTTTGTGCTTCACTGTAAGCACACTGCTTTGCATGGCTTTGCGTTGGAGATGCTCTGCAATCACCAGGCACCGGCGAGAATTCAGTGGCCGGGACCCGATGATTGACACCCACAAATGGCGGCGCGGGTAGGGTCACGCGCGCCCCCTCCCCGGAAATGCAAAATCACGTGTACATATATGTGATTTTGCACACCCGTGCCGCTCTGTAGCAGTACTTCTGATCTAGGGAGACAAGAAGTGGTTATGTGTAATAAAATGGAATGAAACAGGGAAAAAGTATTAAACATACTAACTGAAATTTATTTAATGCTTCATACAAAATTCTTTGTTGGTAATGACAGCTTCAAGACGTCTCCTGTATGGAGTAACTAGTCGCGTGCATTTATCAATTGTAATTTTGCCCCATTCTTCCACACAAACAACCTCCACACACAGATTCTTCAAATCTTGAAGGTTCTGTGGGCCTCTTCTTCTATGAACTCTGATCTTTAGTTCTTTCCAGAGATTTTCTATTGGATTCAAGTCAGATGGTTGGCTGGGCCATTCTAGCGGCTTTATATACGTTCTTTGAAACCAATTGTGAGTTTCCTTGGCTTTGTGTTTGGGATCATTGTCTTGCTGAAATTTCCATCCTCGTTTCATCTTCATCATCTGATGGATGACAGCAGATTTGTATCAAGAATGTCTAGGTAAATTTTTCCATTCATTCTTCCTTCAATGACATGAAATTTGCCAGTACTGTATGCTGAAAAACAGCCCAGACCATGATGTTCCCACCTCCAAACTTCACTGTTGGTATGGTGTTTTTGGGGTGCTGTGCAAACATGGTATGTATTATGGCATCCAAAGAGTTAAATTTTGGTCTCATCTGACCATTTATTATTATTCTTCTTATTATACAGGATTTATATAGCGCCAACAGTTTGCTCAGCACTTTACAATATAATGGGAGACAATACAGCAACAATACAGTTCAATATAAGAGGGATAGGAGGGCCCTGCTCCTTGGAGCTTACAATCTAGGAGGGAGGGGCTAGTGGTACAAAAGGTAGTAACTGTGGGGGATGGACTGGTAGCTAACAATGGAATTTTCTACTCTTCCTGCCGGCAGGATAGGCTTCCTTGAAGAGAGAGGTTTTCAGAGATCGCCTAAAAGTGAGCAGAGTAGGCGATAGTCTGATAAATTGGGGTAGAGAATTCCAGAGGATGGGGGAAGCTCTAGAGAAGTCCTGGAGACGAGCATGGGAGGAGGAGACAAGGGAGCTAGAGAGACTAGGAGGTCGTGCGAGGAGCGGAGAGTACGGTTTGGGTGATATTTAGAGACAAGATCGGTGATGTAATTTGGGGTAGAGTTATAAATGGCTTTATATGTTATTGTTAGTGTTTTAAATTTTATCCGTTGGGCAACAGAAAGCCAGTGGAGGGATTGGCAGAGAGGGGTGGCAGATACAGAACGGTTAGTAAGGTGGATGAGTCTGGCAGCAGCATTCAAGATAGACTGAAGAGGGGATAGCCTGCGATGAGGTAGGCCAATGAGGAGGGAGTTACAATAGTGAAGGCGAGAGATAACAAGGGAGTGAATAAGTTTCTTAGTGGTTTCCGAGGTTAAGAACGCGAGTATCTTGGAGATGTTGCGGAGGTGAAGTCTACAAGATTTAGACAGCGATTGGATTTGGGGCTGAAAGGACAGATGGGAGTCTAGGATTACACCTAGCACCCTGGCATGAGGGGAGGGACTGATGGCTGTGTTATTGATCGTGATGGAGAAGTCAGGGGAGGGGGCATGGGCTGGGGAGAATACTAAGAGCTCAGTTTTGTAAAGATTGAGTTTGAGGAAGTGGAGTGACATCCATGCCAATATGTCACTTAGTAGGTTAGTAATGCGAGAGGAGACTGTAGGGGTGAGGTGAGGAGTAGAAAGATAGATTTGTGTGTCATCAGCATAGAGATGTACTTAAAGCCATGGGAGTTTATCAAGTGACCAAGGGAGGAGGTGTAGATGGAGAAAAGTAGGGGTCCAAGGACAGAACCTTGACGGACCCCTACAGAAAGAGGAAGTGAAGAGGAGGAGGCAGCATTATGGGTAATGCTGAAGGAGCGCTGCGATAGGTAGGAGGAGAACCAGAAGAGAGCAGTCTCGGGGGCCAAGGGAGAGGAGTTTTTTTTGAGTAAGAGGGAATGGTCAACCGTATCAAAAGCCGCAGAGAGGTCAAGTAGTAAGAGTACAGAGTAGTGGCCATTGGTTTTAGCAGCTAGTAGATCATTAGTGAGTTTTAGTAGGGCAGTTTCAGTGGAGTGAGCGAAAGCCAGACTGTAAAGGGTCAAGAAGGTTGTTGTCGGTGAGGTGGGAGCTCAGGTGATTGTAGACTAAGCGTTCTAGGAGTTTAGACCAGACTATATTCTCCTAGTATTTCACAGGCGTATCTACATGTTGTGCAGTAAACTTTAAACGAGCTTCAACATGCTTTTTCTTCAGCGATGTAGTCTTTCGTGATGAGCGTGCATACAGGTCATGCCGCTTGAGTGCATTACTTATTGTTTTCTTTGAAACAATTGTACCTGCTAACTCATGGTCTTTCTGGAGTTCTCCACAATTGGCCCTTGGCTCTTGGACAACTCTTCTAATAATTCTTTTCACTCCTCTGTCAGTAATCTTGCAAAGAGCATTTGATTGTGGCCAGTTTATGGTGAAATTATGTTCTTGCCACCTCCGGATTATGACCCCAACAGTGCTCACAGGAACATTCAGAAGTTTAGAAATCCTTCTGTAACCAATGCCATCAGTTTGTTTTGCAACAATAAGGTTGAAAAGATCTAGAGAGAGCTCTTTGCTTTTACCCATCATGAGATGTTTCTTGTGTGACACCTTGGTAACGAGACACCTTTTTATAGGCCACCAATTAAGACTGAAACAGCTGATATTAATTTGCACTGACAAGGGGCAGGATTGCTTTCTAATTACTGATAGATTTCAGCTGGTGTCTTGGCTTTCCATGCCTTTTTGCACCTTCCTTTCTTCATGTGTTCAATTTATTATTTCCCTGTGTCATTCCATTTTATTACACATAAATTAATTTCTGAACTTATTTGTTTTGGTATCTTTGTATGGATTGCATTGCTTGCTACCGACGTGTTGTGAAAATGTCATGTCAATAACACCTTTAGAAATATATTTATTTAGAAAAATCTTCATGTGTTTAATACTTATTTTACCCGCTGTATATATCCATTTGTTTTTTTTTTAACATTGCTTTGACACACACGGGGGAGATTTACTAAAACTGGAGCACTCAGAATCTGGTGCAGCATGGTAGCCAATCGGCTTCTAACTTCAGCTTGGTTAATTAAGCTTTGACAAACCTGGAAGCTGATTGGTTTCTATGCAGAGCTGCACCAGATTTTGCACTTTCCAGTTTTAGTAAATATCCTCCACAGCCTAAGTAGCGAAATACAAATTGGATGGTGTGCTATAACTCTTAATGACCAATTAGAAATCCTCTTTCAGAAACTTCTATCCAACATCTTTCTACACTTAACTGATCCTAGTCCTGTTGTCTGATATGGCTTCTGTATTTTTCAGTCTGAAAGGGTCTACTTCCAGGTCTTGCTGCCTAAAGGTGGAAAGGAGAGAAGCAAACCCATCTTCTTCTGCAAGAGGTGGAGTATTGGTAAGGCAGTGGACTATGCAGCTTCATTAGCAAGCCTGAGGAACGACAATGACAAGGCAACAGCAAAGGTATGTTCTAAATAACTTTTCCAGCCACAGCTGAGGAAACCAATCTGTTATACTGGTAAATTGTATGAACTGTTATAGAATGCTGAACATTATTTTAAATACGAA